GTAATTTTCTAGTAAGTGTGCAGAGAATAGGAATATGATGCTTAAATTCTTGCTTAACATGGATCTTAACCTATGTAAAACACAGCTTTAATTTATTAACTTACCAGCTTGAAGAACAGAAAACAGCTACTTTTACTGTGTTATTTGGTCCAATGACTTGGTGTATGGCAGCAGTGCTGCTGAAAAGAGCTAGCTGTGAAATTTCAAATGTGGTTCTTGGGTCATACGGAAGGCTAACAATAGATAGATCATTTGAGGAACTGAGAAATCTAGTGAGGAACTAGAGTTTCAGGTTGATCTTTTCACTCCATCTCCTTGGAAGAAACTTGCTGCTGCATATGTTGTATTGGGTCTGAACTTCTGGTGCAAAATTAATGAGTCTTCTGTAATTCAATAATGTATCAAGAGATTACTTACTGGGTTTTGGCAGTCCTCTGCTCAGGCTTCACAGAATAACTTCACAACAGAACCTTTGCAGTGATCTTAATTCTTTCACTGTATTAATATATTTCCTTTGGGTTGTGATAATATTATGACTGGTAGCAAGCTCTTAACCTCAAGAGTTGTCAGAAAGCTGTTGGCAGTAGTAAAGTCAGTTTCTACACTAATAATAAATGATAAATAATAATGAGGGCTAAGAATGAACAACATGCTGGAGAAAGTGGGCTGGAGTCTCTTTCCTGCCTGACACAAGTGAGAAAGGCTATCTTTGTGGCAAGGTGATAAAAGGTGTGGATGAGGCACTAGAGAAGTGAAATATATTGAAAGGAAAAAGTCTTATGAAAGGCTAAGGAAAGAAAAATGGAAGAGACGAATGAAAAAGAAAAGTCTGTGTGTTGGGGGAATGTGACTGAAGAAGCTGAAAGGCAAGAGTAAAGTTAGTAAAATTTTGTCATGTTTTACTCACATATATAAGAAGTGTCCTGTAGAGCAATGCATGGATGTGTACATAAATATATTTTCCCACTATGTCCCTGAGAGCTTCTGGTAAAAAAACTTGGAGTTGAACACTACAAGGGTGCATACCACTATCCCCTGGAGATCTGAGTGACAAAGTTAGGCAGTGCTTAAATGTGTCTTGGAAGAGACTTCATCACCAGTAGCATTGGTGCCACAAAGCTATGTCAAGACTTGAGTTCAACAACTGTTCTGTGCCACAACCTAATTTCCACTCTTGAATATGATGTGCAGTCTTGTTTAACCTGTGAGATGCTATGGATATAAGGCAAAAGGTGAAATTACCTTTCATGGCTCCACAATCATACCATTATCTATTACGTAACCTGGTATTTTCTTCAGTTGGTTGTTTAAACTTTCTTTCAGCTGTGTTCTGCAGTGCTGGTTTTGCATGCTCTCTTAAAGGCATATTTAATTATTTTTACTGAGAATTATCCTGCAGCCTGGTGTTGTCGTATGAATTGTGTGGCTCTAGTTATTTTCTCTGCATTTCTTTTTGTCCTTTGTAGGTTTATCCAGATGAGTCGCAGTCCAGGTTTGTCTCCTCCAACAGTTGATGGCTGCACTAGGTTTTCCCTGGAGAATAACTTACTAAACCATAAAGATATTTTTTAAAACATTTGTATTTTATTAACCTGTTGATTGGCACATTTGATCTGCACTAGTTTAAATTGTCTCTTGGTTTTGGGGTGATTTGCTGCTTCTCGACGAATTAAAGCAATATTTGCTAATGTGGGCAACCTCACAGTTAATGCTGCCTGGGGCAGTTCTTGCCTATGTTGGCTAGCATACTGATGGTGCAAGCTTACTAATTTCCAGAGGGATGTTGAAATTCACAAAGTGTTTGGATTTTGAGTTCTGGATACTGTTTCTAAATTTCTCAAGGACAGCAACAATATTTACTTGCATCAATTCTGGAATAAACTCACTTGAGATAGATTTTATTTTGTTTTAAAGTAAGAAAGCACTCATCATTCTTTGAGGTTTTTAAGTTATTAAAGGCTGCCTCAGACATCCCTTACCAACAAATTGCTAATGTGGAAGTGTTTGCTGAGGAAATACTACTGCATGCCTGGTTTTTTTCTTTCTGCTTTGGATGCTTGTTTTGCTTCTGTGGGGCTTTTAGGGGTGCAAGTGAAGGGTGTGCTCTGGAGGCACTGTGACATTGGAGGAGTGTGGAGAATGGCTTGAGTAAGGCTTCCCTAGCTGAATCTCAGCTCCAGAAGTCTGTTTGATCTAACCTGGTACTGCCGTTCCTGTACCATAGATGGTTTGATGGGGTAATACCATGACAGCAAAGCTCTTAAAGCAGTTGCCAGATCATCTACTGCAGAGCTTTAGAAAGCAAAGGCTTAAAAATAGGTCAACAGCAAAGCTGCAGTGGAACTGTAATAAACATAGCTGGCTCTGGCTTAGAGTGAGGTTTTCCAGTTACCTTATCATGCAGTTGTGCAAGTCTGACTTGTTGTGTATTTTTAAGTGCGAATTCTTTGTTCTTTTGAAAACTTATATCATGGTTTGATTGTTGTTTATTTACTGGTTTAAGTTGCCAGGCCCCAGTAATTTTTCTTCTGTTTTATGTGCTCACTCATTTGTCTCCATCCATTAAATTTATTTTTCAGCATTTCCTTTGCATTTCCTGCACTGACATGATGTAGGATTGCTTCAGGAGCAAAGGATCAACAAAATCACTTCAGAAGGTGCATTTTGTGTCTCTGAGTCATGATTCCCCAGTGTCAGTTTTCTCTCTGAAGATTATTTCTGTTCTGCCTCTCAGCTGAGACAGCTACTTCAGATGAATTTAGGGACAAAGTTTAAATCTTTTTCTATGTACAAACATCTGAATATTAATATACTGTTTAATTCTTGGGTCTGTAATTTATTTCTAGTATTGACTTCCTGAAGCTGTCTAATCTCAGTATTTATTTCACTTTTTGCTATTTTAAAGCTTTCTTACAGCTGGAGAAAAAAGAACAAAAACTAAGCATCGATCAGCCATCTAAAGGCATAAGAAAAAATTATTCTTTCACAAATGAAGAAGTAAGACAGATCGATCGGGAAAACCAAAGGTTGCTAAAAGAACTGTCCAGACAGTCTGCAAAGCCAAGAAGAAGTACCACGTTGAAGAAGCCATCGGTGCCGCCTCCCAAATTGTACCACAGTGCCCTCAACAGGCAAAAAGAGCAGCAAAGAATTGAAAGAGAGAACCTGGTAAGTTTTGAGTAAAGTTGTGGATCAGTAAATGCAGACTCTTTCTTGTCAGAGGAGCTATTGCTGAATACTTAAAAAATTGATGAGGCAGCACTTGAACCATTACTGCAGTAAGTCTATAATGAATTTTCATTACCGGTGCTGTTTGCATTATTGTTTGTATGGGTGAGTGCAGGGGGGCTTGGGGAGGTGGAGGTAATGATGCTTTTTTCAGATGAAAATAGATTTTAGTTTATATGAGTTGAGTTTGCTCTACTTTGGTATCATTTAATTTAAGAGGAACAACCATTAGTTGTCTGACTCTGTTCATCCTGCTTTGTGCATCATGATTACTAGTCTCTCAAGAACAGGCTTGCAGAAAATAAAACAATCAATATGATAGCATCAAACCCATTGTATAGAAAACACAGAGGCTACAAAGTGAATGCCAGTTATGGGTTTTGACTCATTTTGTAGGTATCTGTCTCTTTGAATATTTGTATCGCTCTGCTTATCAGAGTGTTAGAATGTAATGGCAATCACAAGAACTTACTTTAGTGGAAGACAAGGATTCTCACTAATTTATAAGGATAACACTGGTTTGAATAATATATTTTCAGTGATTGAATTGTAATACATACATGTAATGACATTTTCATATCTCCTATTTATTTGTATGTTTGAAAAACAGATTAAAATACAGTTAAAATATTTGAAAAATGTATACTGGAAGTAATTTATTACTTTTTTTCTTTCTGTGTAAGTGTAGGTTGCAATTTCCTTTTATACATAGAGATATAAATTCAACATGGAGAAGGTCTAATTGCCCTATTCAGAAAAATCTATTAGGTTTAAATTCTTCCAGCTTTCAGACACCTGGAGTGTTAAAACTTTTCAAAGTAGGAAACTTTTTCCCCAGCTCCACTGGACTGCAGCTGACATGATACTTCACAGTCCAAGACAATTTTAGCTCAAGAGTTTGCTATAGATGTGTGATATTTCTCCCTGGCTGGGGAAGAAACATTTTTGGACTCTGGACGAGAGCTTTCTGCATGTGCTGCTGGTGGTGGTGTTTGTTTAAAACGTTGGAAATAGAACTTGCTTACCACATGAACCTTCATAATAAGGGTGTGTTCCTCTGGGAAGGAAGTGCTGTCACTTAGAACAGGAACATGCTGTACTGAATAACAATTGATAATTACAGTAGATTAATGTATAGGATATTTTACAATACAATTTTGTTTACTCAAAGCCACAAACCTTTTCTCTTATGATATATTGCAGTACTTGTTCCATACTGTTTTGCCATTGCAACTTCTGGATTAAGAACGCAGCAAACCTAAACACTAGTCATTTCACATAATGCTGTTTAGAGATTAGAGACGTTAGAGATTTGTGGTGGTTGTGTAGTCCAAGAAATTATATTCTTCATTTACTTAGTCATTTATACTTTAGTTGTTGTCAGCAAAGTGCATGGACATGTTTGATGTGAGAATAATTCCAGAATTTGTTAGTTTAGACTACAAAAACATTTGGTTTATTCCTTCCCCCAAATTCAGGATGATATATTCGGTTCTCCTTTTTGAAACAGTACAGCTCTTACATTTTGCTTGGCATTACTATCATTTTTGAGCAATTTTGTTTACTTTTTTATTGTGTTTGAAGTGTATATGCACCTAGAGCATCACAGTTGTAACATAGTGATTTTTCTAGCACTGCCTGTTGGGATTACAGCTATGACATGCTTTTCTGAGATTGTAAATGAAAGAGCAGCCCTACCCTGCCCATTGATGGGGGGGTTTTGCTTTATCTGGGTAAAAATATGTGCTTTATGAACTTGTTTTATTCTAGTCAGTAGCATTCTTCACCTCTGTAGATTTGAAGAGGTGAAATTCCATGGAATTTATCAATCTATCTTCTGTTACTTCTCAGGAATTTTCTTATACAAGGCCTGAGGGTACTGTGTACAGGATATGCTGCTTGATACACTTTTGTGAAGTGTTTGGTGGAGAAGGATGCAGAGCTTTGTAAATAATTCAAGAATAGAGATCCAGAGCAGTAGTCTCTGCAGGGGATTAAAGAGTTTTGGTACAGAGTTTTGTTACAGAGTTTTGTTGGGTTTTCTTCCCTGTTGGCTTACAGCTATTTAATTTCTTGCCCTAAGGTTAACAACATTTCTAAGGAAAACATTCACTTGTTCCACTAGAACATTCTTGGAGTAATGCCTGTACTTATTGTTATCAGAAAGCTTGTTTTCTGGTGCAGGCATTTGGCATCAGAGGTGATGCAGGGAAAGTAAGCAAATTTTAGGGAATTAGAGGCATCTGAGCGATTTGGTGGTCTCTGGCTTTGTGAAAGGGTACAAGGAGGTACAGGGAATATATATTGTTCCCACAGACTGTTAGACACAGAGCTATGATGGAATAAAAAAGATGCATTGCTCTGAAGAACAGTAGTTATAAACTACTGATTAGCAATTTATGGAAAAAGCACAGTTAGCAAATTAGATCACTGTTAAAGTTAATGCCAAAATTTTGTACTTGCTGTGTTTGGTTTTGTTAGCTCAGATAGGTGACCAAAAGCAGGTTCCATTTATGAAAGCACAGAGTGCATCTCCTGCCAATAGAGGATGCTGCTGATTCAGGAAACATTCTGCTCTGCTCTCAACCCTATCCCTTCTTCCCTTATGTCCCTTCAGTGGAAAGGGACATAAGTGTGAGTGATGTGTTACTTTTTTTCCCTCGTGTCTGCGTGTATGTGTCTGTCTGTACTGACATATTAATCATTATTTCTGCCAGTATAAGTTACTCAACTTCATAGACTGGATACTGCACACCATTGAAACTTCTAATGGCTTATTGTTTGATGCAAGAATCTATACTGGTATATCCAGGTAAGTATTTGCAGACTGAAATACAGAGGCCTTTGCAGCCATCACACCGTTCTTCACTCACTTCATCAGAACTTAGAAGTAATTCATATCTCTGTTTTCTCTTGGAGTTTTTTTGCATCATTTTTATTAATCCCAACTAGGATTTAGGTGTTAGATGACCTTAGTGAGCTAAGGTCCTGTGTTCAGTCAAGTTCCTAAGGAGCAAGTGACCTTTGAGTTCACACTGGAAGTTCACTGGAAGATCTCAGCAGCTCTGGTACAGCAGTTCTCAAACTATAGCTAAAGGGGGATAAGGGTGTTATTTGGTGGATGTTTGGTCTTCCCATGCATCCCTGTGCATTCTTCCTGCCCCATGCTACATGGCTGTAGAAAGAATACCAAGGTATTTTGGCCTTACTGTTCTCAGTCTCAAGGAGAAAGCTGTAGGGAATGCAGTTGTGAAAGAGAATGTAGCCTTCTGTGTGGTCTTAGAAACTCAGAAATACTCATGTTGGGTTGGTGTCTCCTTAGAAACTCAAGCACACAGGGTTTTATATGCTATTTTCACTTACTGGGTTTAAAGGTGTCGTATGCCATGACTAAACCAAAATGTTGTAGTTCTTGAGGTTACAATGTGCAATGCAGGAAAAAAAAAGCTTCCGCAGCCCTGTCATCAAGGGAGGCTGTCAGGATGTGGGATTGGCACACAGATGTGCCTGGCTGAAATATACTACAGTACAAAAATAATGTAATTCTGTGATTATAGTATTTAGGCTATAGGTAGGCTCTTTGTGGTCAGATTTTTTGTGGTCTTCAGGTTCCTGGCCCAGACTTGAAATTCCTGGACATTGCTATGTTAATTATAATAACGATTGACTACTTGGCATGTTCAAAGAAAGTTTTGCATGTTTTGCAGCTGCTTAATTTTGTGGGATTTTTTTCTGTGCTCTTAGCCTTCTTTCCTTGTGGTGATGCCATACATAAACCAGATAGCTATTCACTTATAAAGACTTTTCTGTAGATTGCAGAAATTTGAGGGTTTTGCTATTTAGAATATGTCAGGTGAGAGCTAATTAATGCAACTGGCAATTCAAGAAAATTACAAGTACTTGTATTGATAGGAACAGAAAGCTGTCCTTGAATGCAGTTATCTGTTTCCCCTCCCCCACCTGCACTCTGCAAAGGGACAGTGTGGTCACTAACATCAGTGACATTAGAGGAGGCATAATATAAATAAATATGAACAGCTGTCAAGGCACACTGGTCAGCTGGTTAGGATTCAGGGGAGGTGAAACTGAAGCCTTCATGCTTTTAAAAAGCAAAGTAAACCAAGGAAAAGTAACAGTTTTTACTTTCCCTCTCAAATCAGTTTGAGTGCTACATTTGCAGTGTTTTTTCTTTCCTCTTTCAACATAGCTGCAGAAAAGTACGTACTGATTATTTTACATTTTTTCCTTTTTTTTTCTGACAGGATTAAAATTACCTTCAGTGCTCTCCTGATGTGTCCAAAGTTGAATGAGCAGATTTTATATTGGCCCACTGTGTAGCAGCAATTTTTTATTGTGTTGAGTGTCTTTGTTCTCCAGTTGTTGGCAATCTGGCATTTCCTTCTGTGTTTTCCTTCTGTGTTGTAGTGTCTTTATAGATACTAAACTATGTCCAGATCCCTAGTATTATTCCTAGAAGGTAATCATGCAGGTGCACCTTCTGTGATGGTTTTTTTTAAAATATTCTACTTTTACTGTAAATTCAGTATTATAATGAAGTGAAAGAAGATGGAGGAAATATGAGCATGAGTCGTCTTCTGCCAAGCTGGGAGGTCATCAGTGATATGATACTATATATGTATTGAGCTTGAATCAAGAGCTCTGAGGAGTTAAAATGCAATCTAGAGCAACTAGTAACATCCCTGCCATTAGTGTATGCTACTCTTTTTTTCTTTATTTTTATTCCAGATAATCTAATCAGGGACATAGAACAGATTCTAAACACATGGATTATGTTCTGTGGTGTGAGTCTTTGATCATTGAGATCAATGATGCAATTTCTGTTTAGTGATATGGAATTAAGGGTCCAGAGATTTAGTACTTCAAACGAACACAGAAAGGGGCAGCTTTGTTCATTCCATTTCTCTAAAGGAGAACATAATGAAAGAATTTTGTGTGTGTAACTGAAAAAGAACATTTGTTCAAGGTACCAGTACCTTTGTACAAGATAATTCTCAGTTAAGAACCTCAAGATTGTGGGCTTGGTAATAAAAACATAGGAATTGGATTCGTTCTGGGTTACAGATTGAGTTAGGTCAGGACTGTCATTTTACTGTGTTGATGAGTTCATTTCTGAGTGCAGCAGCCTGTTCACTGCTGCAAATAGCAAGCCCTTGGTACAATCTGCAGCAGAGGGAACCCCAGGAACTGCTCTCTCATTCTCTAGAGGAGCTTTTCTTCGGACAGTTCTGTACCACAGAATCTGTATCTGTTCTTTCTGTTGCTCAGGGCTGTATCAAATGCAGAGATAGTCTGTTCAAAAAGTAGTATTTTAGTACTGAGCGGTCTTTTTTTTTTTTTTTCAGTAATGGGGACTTGATACTTGTTGCAACACAGGCATAAAATGAAGAGCAGACAATTGTATTTAACATAGAGTAAAGCTGGCATGTGTATAAATATTCTATGATCAGAATCAAGCTTCAAATTACTGCAGTATTAAGGTGTGCAAATTCTATGAGGCTGTTACAGTTGAGTGCACACTTGAAACATGGTCAGCTCATAGGGAAGTCACTTCTACAATTTACCCAATTCATTTTTGATGGGACTGAATGTATACGGGAGGTAAATAAGTGATCTCTGCCAAGTCTAAATGTATATAGTTGTTTTATAGGAGATGGGGATGAAGTTGTGAGTAAAATGTTGGATGTAACATTTAGAGACAAGTCTACCATTTCATGTTCTGTAAGGGGCTTTAGTGAGGAGCTATTTCTAGCTCAAGTCCTTCCTCTGACTTTTGCTTACTTAGGTATTTCCACTGTGGCGATGAACTGGCTGGAACTCGATGCAAGCACTTGTGACATATTATGTCTGAGCCAAAATCACTTGTTCTTTCTCTCTTGTGAACTCTGTGCAGGCTTCCAGAGCCCATGCATAAACTGCCAAGAGCTGGTAGATTCCTGTTACAGCCAGACAATGACAAATGGCATCCTGTGATGACATCCTAGGTCACTTTGTGTAAATTTTTTTATTAGTACTAAAAAACCCCCACCAAAACAGTACAGTGATCGGGGGTTCAGTTTAAAGGAGCTGCAGACAGATGCTTGACTTCTACCATACAAGTATGCATCTAGAGACAATATGTCCTATTAACAGTTATTTTTAGTACGTTAGAGACTTTCATAAGCACAGTTTGCACTGTCTCTTGTTGATAGGATCTGTGTCATAACCCAGACCAGCAGTGGTTGTGTCACTGCTGTATGTTTGTAGGCCACCAAATGAATTGAAATTAGTTAGCAGAGGAAACGTGGATCTAGTGAGGCAAGCACTGGAGACAAAATATATTAAAAATTAATAAAGTTGTTAAAAAGTTGTTAATTGGAAGTCTTATGTAGCTGGGTATTTCCAAATTTGTCCTCCTACCAGGGTTTTTCTTGTTAGATTATCTAAATTCCTTAAACCAATAAATCTAGTTTTGAGTAGAAGTAGTTATGCAGAATGGGAAACTGTGTCTTAGAAATACTATGGAACTAGCTGTTCCAGTTTATTGCTTGCTTCATGATTGCCAGGGTTAATTTCAACAAGAGGAAATTATCTGTAAGTCAATTTCTACTAGAATCTCTTAAAATTGCATTATGGATGAAACAAAGTGTGTCCTGTGGGTGTTTGTGCTTTCCTTTTGTCATTGGTTTCACAGAATTGAGGTCAGTGATTCTCTGTGGGGGTCATATAGGGCAATATGAAGTAGTCTAAGTATGTTTGCAAGGCAAAGATTTTTTAAAAAGAACAAACTTCTCCTGGAAATTTAGAAGAGAGGACTAACCAGAGGTAGGATTAGAAAAGTGCAACCCATTTCCTCACCACGTTTACTATCACCAAACAGATGTATTGTTTCAACGCACCGTAAAGTACAGAGAACTATGAGATACTAAAGATGTATTCAACATAGAATGAATGATGTGTAAGGAATAGGTATAATTTGTGTCATCTTACAACACTGAGACAAGAACTGAATGTGAGCAGAGTAGCCTGTGCTGGCCAGCAGTGGAGGAATTTGTGTTGTGCACTGCTAAAAATTTGGGGGTTTTCTGCAGTTTAAATAAAAATCAATATGTGTTTGGTTTTTTTAGCATCTTTTTCCTTCTTTCTCTTGATGATATTTTTGTTCAATATTAAGGCTTTCCTGAAAAGACTGGAAGCAGTGAAACCAACAGCTGGTATGAGGCGTTCTGAACAGCTGAGGGACTATCAGCGCCAGATGAGTTACCTGAGTTCCTCACCCTCTGTGAGAAGGGGTAAATCTGCTTTCAGCCAGCTTAGTCCTTCGAGTAAGTGTTTTGAAGTTTCAGGTTATTGTATTTCTTTGCATGTGTTTATCTTTTTATAACTCAAAATTGTGAAGCACTTGCTGTTAAGAATAGCAAATAACCTTTTTCTGTCTTCTTTAGATTGATCCGTTATCAGACAGAAATCATTAGTGTGTTTTTTTTAATTATACCAAAAGTATGATGACCCTATGCATTGTTTTCTTGCCATCCTAAATTTCTAGTAAATTATCTTGGTAATCATCTTTTCCAGGGAGGAAAAAAATCCCTGTTGTAAACAGCTATTTATCATTTTGCCAGTGCCCTTTATTGAAAAGAGAAGGGGGGGGGAATACAACCAAAAACCCCACAAAAACCTCAATGAAGATTCAAATTCTCATTCAGGAAATGTACATCTACTGATAGTAACCTGTTTTCTCTCAGAAATTGTGTGAGATTGGGAAGTATAGAATGTGTCCTTATATGTTGGGTTCAAGAATGACAGCACTATGGCATAGGCTTGAATTCTTTGTCCTAATTGTTTACGAACAACTCATAACATTTTGGGTTTGTATGCAATTTACTGTGCTTTTTTTTGCCTTTTTTTCGATGATGGTAACGAGTGTTGCAATACTAACGTAGCATGAAGTTTTCTGTTGTACTGAGCATAAACATTCTCCCTCTGTGTGTGTGTGTGTGTGTTAACAGGAGGCACTTCAAGATCATCCACTGTACAAAGTACTCTGAGCCAGAGGAGTGAGAAGTCCATGTCTGATTTAGCCAGTGGGGCATTGCAGAGACCTAAACCCACTAATGTTCGTGCTGCTTGGTTATAAGTATGTTTTTGCCTCGCATTCTGAGATGATCCTCAGACTTCTGGTTTTAGTGCTTTTGTAAATTCTATGTGCAAAAATAACTTCTGCGTTGTTCAGTGATTAAAATGCATTGCATTTAATGTAATTGCTTATAAAATGGTTTCAAGTGAACATTTTCACTTCAGTCAGTGTTTCCCATGACAGGAAGAACTTATGAAAAGAGAAGGAGGTATTTAAATGGACAAGTTAAATAGAAATTTAACTACTATTTAATTCTCAGATCATAAGTGGAATTTGTATCCATAACATGGAAGGACAGAATTGCTGCACTAAAGGTGCAAGATGTAAATAAAATCTTTAAAATGTTAATAATATTTTAAGATACTCCATTAAGTTCATAAGCATATGCTTAATTCCTGGATTGTCCTTGCTTTTCATCCTGGCTTTGTGTAAGCCTTCTGAAATTTGCGAGTCGTGTTCTTATGCCTGAAACCATCTTTAACAGCAGTGTGAAGGGGTGAAAAGCAGCTGGTGTGTTCCTGCCTGGCTAGCTGGAATACTGAGGCTGCAGAAGATGATGTTTGGCCACCCTTAAACATTCAACACCTCAACTGAATTTTGTACACAAGGCTGTGTCTTTTCCAGATTTAAAAGTATTTCGGAAGTTGTGTTGGATTTCGGAGCGTGTATCGGGACCATTGTGTAGGAAAGAAGCATCTGGTGCTATTTGAACACATGAAGATTGAAGTGAACAGCAGTTTCAGATTCACTGCAAACAAGAGTAAGTTCTAGTTACTTCTCAACCTACAGAATAAGACTAAGCAAGGGAAGTATTTCATGGCCCTGCTTTTGCAGGTGCTTGTCCTTCCTGGTGGGGAGATGTAAACTTGAGCTGCAGGAAACATCTTGAATATTTGATTTTCAGAGTGACTACTAACCAGGATTTAGACAAATGAAGATAGTAGAAAACAGAAAATCTTGTTATGCTGCTTAACCTGTTTTTTAATGTCATGTTCATACCAAATATTTGTCGTAGTGTCAGATGAGCTCCAGTAGCAACATCCATTTACACAGGGAGTAAAATGTAACCGAATTGGTAATCACAAATAGTAGGTGGTGTGCTTTATTTCTATACATAAAGGCAGACTTTCAGTGAGCTTGTTTTGTAGGACTGTAGCCTTATAAAGAGCATAAAGTGTGATGCCACTGTCTGTGGATATTGCTGAAGCCTTGCTTGCTTCCCCAGCTTTTTCCCAGGAGAGATACAGGAAATGTCTGTATGACAAGTAAAGAAAAAAGCTGTATTCAGTAATGCTGGGTCTTAGCCCTATGGCAAGAAAATTTATTATTCTTTGCTTCTGCTTGCATGAGAGCTTAGGCTTTCAGGTATTCTGCTTTGTAACACTTTTGTTACTTGGTCCTGTGTGATAGTTTGGTAGAGCTTCTGCACCTGGTGACCTGCAGATCAAATTTAGCTGTTTGACAATATTTGAAGTTTTAACGTTAAGCAGCATTGTGGCAAACAGATTTGTATTGCAATTATTATTCATGGATAGGGATTGTAAGGAATTTTTTGTATAGTGCTGCTTTATTTTATTTGTATTATTGTGCTAATTCAAATTAATCACTATTTAAATACTTTTTTTGTCCTTGAATGTGAATAATAGTCACAGTTTAAATACTTTTGAATGTTCATATGATATTTTTTTGCTGTGATGGAATTCACAAAATGGATTACTTTTGATCGCTTCATCTTATTTAACTTTGGTATGAAAAAGACTGTCAATTTTGTATGTTGTTTTTGTAAATAATAATAAATAAATATTTAACATGAATTGTCATTGCAATATCTTCTTTCGGAATTTTTTTAATTGGTATTAAAGTGCAAAAGAGGTAATGGGAGAAATATTTTCTACTGTGTGTTGTGGAGGAAAATGCAAAGAACCAGTTTATTTGTTGATACACTTCACTTGTTAGTGATTTTGGTGAGGTTTTTTTAAGACAAGTCATATTGACATGTCTTGATCAAGTTAGATAATCTCATCAAGATTTTTACAGTGAAAAGTCCTGTTTCTAGTAGACTTGTTTTCTGTCTGTTTTGTAAGCTGTCACTTCATGTTCTCGTCTACATTCTTCCCCTCACCCCCCAAGAAGATCTCTAAATTAAAATGCAAGCTGCTTTGCTTCCTCCTTAAAGTGACCTGCCACACTGATTTGGCATGGTTTCAGGTAGGAGCCAGTCTCCCTGCTGAAGTGACAGGATTGCCAGGTTGGGTGACAGCAGTAGTGTATTGATCTGTGAGAAACCGACTGCTTTTACACTCCCAGTGTCCCTGCCTTTCTTCTAGGACAGGGTTCTTCTGTGTAGTTTATCTGTAATACTCAGGTCTTAAAGAAGGCCATAGCTCAGATCACTGACTATATGAGAAGAACAAGGGAGTGATCATGTGTTCTTTTCTGGATAGGAGACACATGAAGGGCGTTTTTCCAAACAGACCACTGAGTCCTTTAAAACTCAGTTTTATGCCAAGCAAACTGAAGAGACTTAAGCTAATTTGGAAGAATCACACAAGGTCATTCCTTGTATGGAATGTATAGGCTTTCCCCCTGGGCCAGAGCCTGTCTTCTCTCTCTTCATTGCATGAAGTCTATACTGAAGATTCTGAGGAATCTCTGGGATCATCTTGCCATGCAGATGAGTATTAGATTGTCCTAAATCAAATGGCCAGTTGGATTTGTATGTCTTCTGGTAGGTAGGTATGTATATCGGGCCGTACTTTACTGATCATCATCTAATGATTTTCAGGATAAACCCCTGTAAAAAGCCTGATATATTTCTTCTAACAGGTCAAAAACATGTTTATGACAGTGCTTTTCCTTGTCCTCTGTGGTTAATAGACAAAAACAACCTTTTGCCTTCCTAACCTGTGTAGCTCATTGAGTCATCTGGTAGATGAGAGCTTGTGCTTTTGCCTGGAGCAGTCTGTACAGCAGTGTAGTGGAGGTGAGGGCAATGAGGTCCCTTGCATTAAGCCTTCTAGCTGCAGAGTCATGACCACCATATGCAGGCAATGCTGAGTATTTGCTCTGTGATCTATCAACAAAAAAATTATGATGGGGAAGTATTCCACATTGAAGTGGTGTATCTTATGAGCCAGGTACAGTGAGCATTGGCTGCAGCCCTTGTGTTTACCTGCTCAAAGTCTTGAGCAAAGTGGTGGGTGAACTGTGTCACTTCCACCTGATGAATGAGAAACAGAAATAAGGGCTGCATCTGGAGCCATCTTCCTGGACTGAATTTACATTGAGGTCATATTGTTTCTGGTATCAGTGCTTGTGATCCAGCTCTGCTTTGTCTTCAGGATGCATGGTTTGAATACCTTGGTCAAGAAAGCTGCTGTGTCTCCTGGTAACTCTTCTGGCCAAGATGAGACAGGGTTTGGTAACATTGATCCTTGTACCTCTTACTTCTGGTCCCAGGTCTACCTGTGTTATTCTCTAGAGAGTCCTAAAATGCCCTTCTCCATGATTCTGTTCCAGACTGTGTACAAAAACCATAGTTCTCTTCATTGTATTATATGTGATCAGAGCTTGCAACAGAAGTGACAGGTCTCAGTGATCTCCACAGTGTCTTTTAGAACTAGAACACCCTGTTGAGAGTGTTTACTGGTATAAAATGAGAGGGACCTCCCAATGGCAACACAGGTAGCTGAGATTTGCTACCTGCGGCATGATGCTTTCTTAAGTTGGCTAGTGGCCCACTCCATCTTCAGCCAAGATTATTCAGTAACCTTACCTGTAGATGTGAGTGTTGTTCTGGTTTTTTAACAACTTAGGAAACAACTTCCATTCTGCTATGCTTCTCACCATGCCTCAAACTCTTCTCTGTGGCTTTTAAAGAACTGATGGCTGCTCCTTCCACGATGAGTGTAGCCCAGTGAGTGGAGGTTATCCCCTTCAGAAAGGTAGGGAGGGCTCAATCTGAGGTCATAGATTCTCCCACTCTGCAATAGGCTGTGTGCTCTTCAGAGATGGATTTATCTTTCAGACCTGAAATTTCCTAACTTCATTTCATCCAAAAGATCAGTGTAGCTCAGTTCTCTCCCCAGGTTGTGTCCTTTCAGAGCCAAGTAGTATAGTATATGCTGGAGGGCAGGTAGGCTGTGTCTTTCTCTATCAGTAGGATATACTACCAAGCTATTCAAGACAGGTTTTTGCAGTGTTGAAGTGTGAGATATATGGGATTAATGGTTTTGACTCAGGCTTTAACCTGCATAGTTTGTCGTTACCAGCTATTGCAAAGTGGACACTGCCAGCAGTTCTAGTAGCAATTGGAGACTATCTGCAAAGTCTAATATTTTCCACCTTTTCAGAGCAGTTAGCTGGATTTCAGCCACAGAGTCAGGGGCAGAGCTGCTTTCAGGTGGTTAATTCACTGACAGATTTGAACTCTGACCCAAAGTATCTTTACGGAGTAGTGCCTGCAACTACCATAGTGTGTGCATTGGCATTCAAGCAGAAATAAGGACCCGTTTACCTGTAGCTGCTTTCCATGTGTTTTATTTGATGTACTGTGTCTTCTACCAGCAGACTCTTCCTGCACTGATACCTTTCACTCTCCTTTTTAATAGTCTTTATTCCCCCTTCGGGTTTGTTGCCTTTTTCTTTTCTGGAATGTAACTTTTTTCATTTACTTGAAGTTTCTTTGCTTCCTTTTAATTCTCTTATTCATACATACACTACCCCCCAAGGTTTGGTATCTCTGCCATCTTTGTAGCCAACTTAGATCCTCTCTAATACATCCAAATGCCGTTTGTCACCTTGTCAGTGAGCTAAATGTGAAAGGGGTAGTTAAGTGTGTTACCCAGACTTCGCATAAGGAACCTCTAGGAATGTGTGGAGGAAGGAGAAAAGGAAACGAAAGGGCAAAACCAGGCAGATAATAAAGTTATTAAGGAAGACTAGTGCAACTTTCAAAACCAGTAGAAATATTTTCTTCACAAACTTATGATTCAGTAGATTGCAATGCTGGTCATTTACTTTGGGGAAGAAACCAGACCAACTATCTAGAAAGCAAGTGTTTAAGATAGTGACCATGAAAAAAGGGAGATGTAACAATCAGGCCAGGTTGAAAGACAAAAAATTAAATTTGGGTAATTTAAAGATAGTCTATAATTTTTTTCCCCAAATGCTTCAGTTCTTCAGGTGAATAGCTGTTGCTTCCAAACACTAAGTGGGTTGTACCTGCCTTCAGGGAGAACAGAGCAGCTGGTCTGCATCTATAGCAGACATACAGAGCCTATTGTGACAAGTGACAGGCAGGACTACCTGCATCTGACAACAATGCTCCAAATACAGGAAGGGGATAAGTGGAAACCATAACATATGAAGTAGTAAAGGATGGAGGTGAAATAAAAGCTTGTTTGATTATTACTTGCTCCATCTTGCCCCTTTCTTTGTCCAGCTTGCCCAGGTAAATTGTGGATGCCTCAGCCCTGGAGGTATTGACGGCTGGGGCTGGATGAGGCCCTGAGCACCCTGGTCTAGTGGAAAGGTGTCCCTGCCCATGGCAGGGAGGTTGGAGGTAGATTACCTTTAAGGTCTCTCCCACCCCAATCCATGCTCTATGATTCTTCTCCTAGGTGAATACATAGAAAATGTTTATTTGTATATACTCCAACTGAACAACTGAAATGGCCACACCTCATTTTGCCTAATTAGACAGCCCATTCTTGATTGAGTTCACCACCATGCAGCATCTCAAGTTTATGAGCATATTCTGATCGCACTGGCAATTAGTAGCTCAGTGTGTTAATAGTGGTGTAATTCTTAAAATACCTCTGGAGTGTTTCATTCTAGAATACTTTTCCAAGAAAAGTAAGCAGCAATGACCTCACTATTCAATGAAGACACTTCAAAGTTAAGGGTAATATAAACCAATTATCAAAGCAGATAAGACCATAAGGAAGATTATCTGTAAGACAACTGGCTGGAGGACCCTCAAGCTAAATCCACTTGGTGTTTTGCTGTTGTAGAATTATCAATAACCACTTCACCTCTGTTGAAAAAACTTCCAAGAGACAATCATTTACAGTGTGCTGATTAGCACATCACCTCAAGCACATGTGGTCTGTAATGTGTTCAGTGTACTGAAATCAACAGGAAAAAGTTCATTAATATATTAATTTATTTTGTTGCATTTCAGTTTTAGTTCAATTGAACATCAAAGCAGTCAACTTTTTCGTTTGTGACAATACAGGGGATTTTTGAAACACCACATTTCTGTATTTTACAAAGTATGTTTGAAAACTCGGATTATGGTTTCAACGATATGACTGTGTAATTTTTAAGTGAAGAGGCTGCAGTTAGGAACTCAGCCTGTTTTAGTATATAGTTTCAGACATACTTTCACTTAATATTATATTAAAAAATACAGCTTTAGAAGAAAATATTTTAATTAATGTTATGTCATCATGCTGTTGGGTAGCTAGAGACATTACTTGGTACAATGTTTATGATGATCTCACTCTTAAGAGTTCACAATATTAGATTTTAGACTAGGTATAGACCACCTAAGTCTTGTCTCTAGACAAAATAAATTACCTGCAATTTGATATATAATATATACACAGGTTCCATTACAAATGCTGAAGGATCTCATACACAAATGTATCTGTGATATAATGGACAATTTTTAAATTAATGCATCCTCATCTCTCAGATACGTTACTCAAATTTTATTCTGTTTCCCTAGGAAATATTTCATTGTCCATTGCATCACAAGAGCATATTTCTTAAAAAGCTGATGTAGATCAATTGAACTACTACGTTTCGATGTTAAGTTTTACACATACTTCTTGATTTCATCATAAAGTACCAATACAAAAGCTCCGCCCATGCCTCTCAACACATTCGACCAGGCACCTTTGAAGAATGCATTGGTTCCTTCATCTTTAGCTATCTTCTTCCAGCAATCAATTGTGCCCGTGTACATAATATCAGCTGTGGAAACAAACGAAGGTCATAAGGCTTAAAGTTATAAAGCAAGTCTGTTTAAACTTCCATTATCTTAAAAACAACAAGAAATAAGCAAAGTATAGCCAAGAATTTAAAATTAAATAATCAAATAATAAAAAGTAATTCTCCATATGGATGGAAATCAAGTAATTTCTCAGTCCTTTAAGTGAACATAACAGAAATAACCCACAGTGTGCTTCCAGTGGGGTTTTCTTGAGGATTCCAATAAGGAGGTTGTTAGTTTTCCATAAGACAAACAATACCCATTATCTCCCATCCTATCTCAATGAAGAGACAGCTTCTGCTGCCAGAACACCATAGGAGCATTTATTCTTACCTCCCCTTCGGCCAGACTGCATCATCATCCTACGTCGCACAGTATCAAAAGGGTAAGAAACCAGCCCTGCCACTGCAGTAACACTCTGGGCAATCATCCAGCTCACTATGATATGCACATTCTTTGGATCAGGCAACATACCTGTCATCAAGAACAAATAAGCAGAGTCAGTACAGAGGGAAAGGGTTGTGGGAAAGATAGCTGTGGAAGGAACAACCCCAGAAGTCAATCCAAACCCAATGCTTCTGCTCAGAGCAGCAAGTTGAGGGAGGCAGGAATCCATGTCAGAAACACCTGTGTATATTCTAGCACTGCACCCTAAACTGGTGCTGAGCCAAGCCCTGCTTGTCCTTGTACTGCCAAGTGCCCTAGGGCACCTTTACTGGATGGATCTTCCCCTGTAGTCACTCCTCCATGCACTTCTTACCCTTGGCCGTATCGTACACCCCAAAATAGGCTGCTCTGTAGATGATGATGCCCTGGACAGACACGCTAAATCCTTGGTACAGGCCCTTCAAGCCATCCGACTTAAAGATCTTGGCAATGCAGTCGCCCAGCCCAGCGAACTGCCTCTCAGCCGATCCTTTGCCCACGTCAGCTGCCAGCCGGGTCCGGGCGAAATCCAGCGGGTACACGAAGCAGAGCGAGGTGGCTCCCGCAGCGCCCCCGGACGCGAGGTTCCCTGCGAAGTAGCGCCAGAACTGCTTGTGCCTGTCCACTCCCCCCAGGAAGATCTGCTTGTACTTGTCCTTGAAGGCGAAGTTGAGGGCCTGGGTGGGGAAGTACCGGATGACATTGGCCATGTTGCCTCTCCAGAAGGAAGCGAAGCCTTGCTCCTTGGGGATGCGGACTATGCAGTCCATGATGCCCTTGTACTGCTTATCGGCCGTGATCTGTTGGCTGGCATGCTGGACCTGCACGGAGAAGAACGGGACGGTAGCGAGAGGGATGCCGCG